AACCTATATTAGATTGCTTGCTATCTTGGGGAGGAGAGAGGGAAATGAGGAAAATTTGTAACTCAAAATCTTACAAAAAAGAATGTTGAAAATTATCTTTACATGGAATTGGAAAAAAAAATACTGTTTGCTAAAAAAAAAAAATAGCAAGACTCTACCGGCCACCTCCTGAAAAAAAAAAAAAAACAAACCCAAGATGAAAATGCTAAGGAACATTAATCCACTTTCCAAGTCAAAGAAAAAATACTGTAAGCAGTGAGAAAAAATAATTCAAGTACTGAGAATCCATAGTCAAGATCACACATGCTTTAGCAGCCACTACTATTAAGGAGTAGAGAACTTTGAATATAATAATCTAGAAGGCAAAGGATATAGGCTTATAACCAAGAATAATATCCAGCAAAATTAAATATGATTCTACAGGGGGGAAATGTACCTCTAATGAAACAGAGGGCTCCCAAGTATTCCTAATGAAAATAATGGAGTTGCAGAGAAAATTTGAAGTGCAAACACAGGAGTCAAGAGAAACATAAAAAAGTAAACATGAGTGAACATCCACAAGGGATTAAACTAGGATAAACTATCTAATTAGACAGAAGGCCTGATAGTGGTTCTGTTGTGTCTTGATCATCTTAAAAAAATAATGGAAAGGAGATAAGAGGAATAACCTAGGGCAGGGGAGGGGAAGGGAGAAGGTTAGGGAAAATTATCTCACTTAATTGGCGTTCACAAGCAGAAGTCTATACAAACAAGGAGGAAGGGGTGGGGGAGTGGGTGACACTTGAATCTCACTTTCATCTGAACTGGTCAAATAAAACACACAGTTCAGTACAGGAATACATTTCACTAAATAGTGAAATGGGAGGGAAAACTGAAAAGGAAGAAGGAATAAGGAGGAGGTTAGATTAAGGGAAGGATGAGTTGTGAGCAAAAGAAACTCTAAGAATGTAACAAACTATTTACAGCAACTTTTTTTTTTTTGTGGTGGCATAGAATTGGAAACTGAGGGAGTGCCCATCAATTAGAGAATGGCTCAAAAATTATAGTATATAAATGGGATGGAATATTATTGTGCTGTAAGAAATAATGAAGAGAATAGGTTCAGAGAAACCTGGGAAGATTTGTAAGAACTGATACAGAATGAAGTAAATAGAACCAGAACAATTTATACAATAATACAATATCATAAAAACAAACAACTTTGAAAGCCTTAGCATCTGATTAGCATAATGACCAACTACAATTCATGATGAAAATGCTGCCTACCTCCTGAAAGAGAAGTGAAAGATTCAGAGTATATAACTAGAAATTTTTTGGACATGGCCAATGTCAATTGCTTAATTATACATGTTTGTAACAGGTTTTGTTTTTCTTTCCTTCTTACTTGGGAGAATGGTAGAATGGGAGAAAGAAAAGGACAGTTTTTGCTGATTGAAAAAATAAATTTAAATTAAAAATAAAACTATAGGCCAATATGCTAGTGACTATTGACATAAAAATATTAAATGAAATGTAGTGAAAAGGAGATAACAACATATTTAAAATGTTATACAGTAGAACTAAGGTAGATTTGTGGTAGAAATACAGAGTTGAATCAATATTAGGTAAACTATAAATAAAACAGACATTACCAGAATACCAGTAAAATTGTGATTACCTCAATAGATACTGAAAAAAAAAAAACTTTTGACAAAATTCAAAACCTATTTCTGTTAAAAAGAGCTCACTAAATCACAGGAATAAATGCACCTTTTCTTAATAATATCTTTCTAAAACCAAGTGCCAACATTGTATATAATAGAGAAAGGCTAGAGGTCTTTCCAGTACAACCAAGGGTAAAACAAAGATATCCATTATCACCATTATTATTTCACAGAGTTTTAGAAATGCTTGCTATAGCAATAAGACAAGAAAAAATAAATTGAGGGAATAAACATGCACAAAGAAGAAACAAAATTACCAGGTTTTTTTTGCAGATAATATGATGATTTATCCAGTAAACTCCAAAGAGTCAACTAAAAATCAATTGAAACAGTAACTTTAGTAAAGTTGCAAATTATAAAATAAACCCACAAAACTCATCAACATCTTACCAACGTATTACCAACAAAACCCTGCAGGAAAAGATAGAGAAATTCCATTTAGAAAACTACAGAATGTATAAAATATCTAGAAAACTACCTATCAAGACACATATAGGAACTATGAGCACTTTTAAAAAATGTTTTTTATAGAAATAAATATAGATCAAACTAGAGATGAATAATTATTCATTTATGTTTGTATGTATATATATATATATACATACATACATACACATATATATCCTGTCAATGGAATAAACATCACAATACGACCTCAGCTAATTTGCTTATTGATTGCTATACCAATCAAATTACTAAAGAATTACTTCAGAGTGCTAGAAAAAAATAATAATGAACAAAAGGCAAAAAATTCTCAAGGCACATAATAAGAAAGTAGGAGGGAAAGGGGCCAGATCTCAAACAATACTACTCAGTAATCATCAAAATTATTTTATACAGACTAAAACAAAATGAGATTGATCAGTGAAACAGATTATGTACAAGACATATGGAAACAAAAGAGCAACCAACATGTTAGCATGGTGTTTGATAAACCTGAAGACTCCAATTCCTGGGATAAGAACTCATTATTTGACACAGCTGCTTGGAAACTGGAAAGCCGTCTGGCAGAAATTAGGTGTAGACCAATGTCTCACACAATATACTAAGATAAACTCCAAATAGATACATGACCTAGATATAAAACATCACATCACGAACTAATTAGAGAAACAAGGAAGGAAATATTTTTCACACCTGTGGTTAGGGAAAGAATTCATGACCAAACAAGGGATAAAGAGGATCAAAGAAGATAAAAAAGAACAGTTTTGATGATATATAAGTAAAAAGGCTTTTTTTTTTCACAAACAAAATCAATATACTTAAAATTAGAAGGGAAATAGTTATCTGGGGAAAAAAAAAACCTTTGCAACAAGTGTCTCTGATAAAGGCCTCATATCCCAAATATATAAGGAGGTGATTGAGAGAGTGAGGCTGACAACTTTGTGCAGCTCTGCCTCATTTAAATCCAATTCACACAAAAGTCAAGACATCACCCTCACGATGTCATTGTCCTCTTTGAGAACAAATGAACAAACAACAACAACATATAAAGAGAACTATTTGCTAATAAATAAATTGTTAAAAGATATGAATAATCATGTCTCAAAGAAATCAAAACTATCAACAAGCATATGAAAAAATGCTCCAAATTACTAATAAATAGGGAAACAAAAATTAAAGCAACTCTGACAATTATTGGAAGGGCTGCAGGAAAACAGGCAAACTAAATGGACTGTTGGCGTACCTGTGAGTTGGTCTAGCCATTCTGGAAAGCAATTTGGAACTATATCTAAAAAGCTACTAAATTGTGTGTACCCTTTGACTCAGCTATACTGCTACTAGTCATATAGCTCAAAGACATCAAAAAAAAACCCCATCTATTAAAAAATATTTGTAGCAACTCTTTTTTTTTTTATTATATCAGAAAAACTAAGAAGGTGCCCATCAACTGGAGAATGATTGACCAAATGAATGTAATGGAATATTACTGAAAAGGATGGTTTCTGAGAAATCTGGGAGGATTTGTACGAACTGATGCAGAGAAAAGGGAGCAGAACCAGAGAACAATTTATACAATAACAACCACATTGTAAAGACAAATTTGAAAGAACTCAAGAACTCTGATCAGTGAAATGATCAAACACTATTCCAGAGGATTGATTACGAAACCTACTACCCATTTTCTGACAGAGAGGTGATGGATTCAAGGTGCAAAATGAGACATACATTTTCTAACAAGACCAATGTGGGAATTTATTTTGCTTGAGTCTGTATACCCAATTTGGGTGAGGGGTGTGGGAGGAACAGGGAGATTAATGATAAGTATGTAAAAGAAAAGAAAGAAAGAAATAAAGGAAGGAAGGAAAGAGGGAAGGAAAAAAAAGGGGGTCATTGAAGCAGTTTTTAAAATGCACAGAAGAGAACAAAAGGGCCAAAAGGAAACAGAGAAACAGGATTGCAATAAGTTAGTTACATGTTGAATTATTCTTTGCTTAAAAGGAAAAGCAAGTTGTACATTATAGCAATTTGCAGATTCGTGTTACAATCCTCTTCTGATCTACTTTGTATATGGAAATGCTAATTTTATACAGTCTTTGTATAATTTCTGTAGTTAGGTTTGTGTTGTCTCTAGTGGGGATTTCTTCTGTGTTTATTTAGTCAAGTGTAGCCTCTTTCTGTGTTCATTTTCTTCAATGCCATTTCTACTTTCTCTGATTATGGAGTCACACGCCATGCTTTTTGCAGGCTAGTGTGTAAAGTGATATTATTTCTAATTTTTCCATTATCCTCCTTCACAATGTTTGGTGAAAGGGTTTTTATTATAATCTGGTGTTGTCCTTGCTGTCCAGATCTCTAAGACATCAGCTGTTTTTTTTTTTTTTACTGGAGAAGTCTCTAGGCTCATTTGTGCTCTTCACTGTGGCAACTGTTTCACATTGCTTGAACTTCTCTAATGAGTAGTGATATTGGTAATGTCTTTACTTTTATACATTTCCTATTTTTTAACTTGTTTAAATACAGTCGGTTGGAACTATTGGAATTTCATGCACTATTTTCTTTTCTGTTCTTTCTTCTAATCTGCAATGAATTTTGGCTTTTGTTTTTAACCAGATAATGATCTGGCTGTGTACAGATCAGAAATTAGTCTGATGTCAATAAACAGAACTTTCCTGTCTGTTAAAATGAAATCACACTTACTTTTTGTTGTGTTATTTGATTCTCACTATTTCCTACATTTTTTGAATCTTCTCTTGAAGAAAATATTCAAGCTATATACATGTGAGCCTTCTGACTAATCTACAAGCCTTGAGCTGATACTTTCTCAACCTGACCATCTTTTCAGTATATTTTTACCTTTTCACTCCTTCGTCCACCTTTACATTGAAGTCAAGGCATATCCAAGGATGTGTTGACTTGGTTTGGGGATCTTGTCTAGTTCCTTGTGGAGTTTCTTTCCTTTTTTATCTTTGTCAGCAGATGTTGATGAATGAACTTCGAGGTAGACTCTTTTCATCAGAAGCTCTGCAATTCAGGATGACCCAATGTTTCATGAAAGGCTGTTTTTCATTTTCCTTGGGCCCATGTTGAAACCAACTTTGTCGAGCTCTTTATTTGCCTCTTCTGAAGAGAGCCTGAGAGCCATCTTTCCAATTTACCACATAGTGTAGTGGATAGAGAGTGAAACTTTGCATCGGCAAGACTTGAGTTCACCTCCTAGCTCAGACACAATCATTGTGTGACCCTTGGCAAATCATTTAACCTTTCTAATCCTTAATTTCCTCATCTGTAAAATGGGGATAATAACAGTACCTACCTTAATGGGTTGTTCTTTGGACCAAATGAGGTAATGTGTGCAAAGCCCTTTGCAAACCTATACATACATACATACATACATACATACATACATACATATATATGTATATATATATTTCAACTATTATTTTTATATATATTCAGCAATATCTATTAATGATATAAAAATTTCGATATATAAATTTCAACTATTATTTTTAGCTATAGTATCTTAAGTATTCTAGTTTCATTTATAATTTGTGGCTGTTGAAGATGTGCTTTAGTTCTTTCAGTAGCAGGCCAACTTCTTGGTTGTTAATCAAAGACATCACATCTTCTGTGCCAACAATTAGTAGGTAGACTAAAAATAGGAATTTTTAGCAACCTCTGTCCCTTTTCCACCAACTCTGCCACCATCAGCATGGAAGTACAAGGGGACTACAAGGGACTGAGGGCCATTTTGGATTTGATCTGTTTCATGGGTGTCTGTGGTCAAAAAATTGATCATCTTAAGTAGCCAGCTGCTAGGGTTGTGTTTCTCTGCACTTAACCGGAGGTCTTCTAGCTTTGACTTTAGGCTATATCTAAGGCAACAGAAGAAAGGAGGGGAAAGTTCCTCTATTCGCTGCCCTGATCAGACCCCATCTGAAGCACCGGGCACCACATTTTAGAAGGGCCATTGACGAGCTAGAAGCTTCCAGAGGACAATGACTAGAATAGAGAAAGGAACTAGAAACCACATCTTAGGAAGATCCTTTGAAAGAATAGGGGGTATTTAGCTTGGAGAAGAGAAAGTTTAGTAGCCACATGAGTGCTTTCTTCAAGTATCTTTTCAAAGGGCTGCCCTGTGAAAGACAGACATGTTCTGCCTGGCCCCTGGGGAAACGATTCAGCCCAACAGAGGCAGAGTTGAAAAGAGGCATTTTTCAGTTCCATATATGGAAGAACTTCCAAACAGTTCATAGTGTCTCAAGGTACAATGGGGCCACTTCATGAGGTAATCAATTTCTTCTCACCTTGTAGGGGTTCTTAACTTGAGGTCTGAGAACTTAAATATTTTTTGACAGCTGTATTTCAATATAATTGGTTTCCTCTCTAATGCTATGTATTTTATTTTATATTTTAATTGCCAACAGGGTCCAGGACACAGAAAAGGGTTATGAACCCATGCTGTAGGCCAGATAACCACTTGGTGCTGAGGTTGTGAACTACTAGCAGAACGGGGAGATGTGAGTTAACCACATCAGCATCTACATTTAAATATCTTGCCAATGACTTTTATTTTCCTGAATTCTTTTAACTGTCTTGGGAACTGCTTTTGCCAGGGAATATTTTAATGAATTGTTATTAAATGGATTATTTGTTTGAGTCCTGCTGAACCACAGGTGGGGATAGGAGGCTGTGAAGAGGATTCTTACTCAGGTAGGGGTTTGGATCAGTGGTCCTCCAAGCTCTCCAACTAGCTCTGAGATTCTGTGATTCCAGAACCATAGACTCATAAAAGCACTATTCTCTGGGGAAGGAGTTGAAACAAGGAATCACCATCTGAGAAGGGATGGGGAAACTGGACTCTGAATGGAACCAGAAGAGAGGGACACTCCTACAGCTCTGGAGCTTAAAAAGGCCTTAGAGCTCAGTGGTTATCACTGATATCACTTTTTTCTTTAGACCCTGGGTAGGGGCACATAGAGAAAGGGAGTGAGTGGGATAGGAGCCCCTGATGCTAGAGTCTGCTTTGGAGACTGAGACTTTACCATTTATGAGGCTGGGGGATTTTCCTCCTATCTGAGTCCCACCTATACAAGAGCTGCAGCCAACCTTATTGGCAATGCACTCTGGGGCCTTTCCTCCAACCATCCACCCTGGCTTGTCTACCTCCCACCACTATAGATTTTCAACAGGCAAAAGGGCTTCATTCCATCTTTCTAACTTGTCCTCTGTCTGGAAAGCTCTTTTTCCTTCTAGCTAAAACATAATTATTCTTCACTGAGTAGACAAAACCTCTTTTCTCTCAGAAGTCTTCCCTTATGACTTCAGTTTGTCTTTCCCTCCTGTCTTCCTTCTCTGAGCACCTGTGGGCCTTACCTTTCAATTGGGATTTAAGGATCTCCCAGTTGACTCTATATTGGCCTAGGTCAATCTCAAGTTCAAGTTTCTGTGTGATCTTAGGCAGGGCACTTTCTTTCTCTGGGCCTCAGTTTCGTTATTGATTGAGGGGATTGAACTGGATTATCTCCTAAGGTTTTGTCCAGCTATCACTTTCTGTGTTTTAAGGTTCTTTCTATCTCTGACATTATATTTGCTAGGGTCTCTTCCAAATCTGCCATTCATTGCTTTGAGGTTGCTCTTAGCTCTGCCATCCTGTGTTTTGAGACCTCTCAAAGCTCTGCATTCTGTGTTCTAAGATCCCTCCCAACTCTGCCACCCTGTGTTCTAAGGCCCCTCCCAGCCCCGACATTTTGTTTTAAGGCCCTGCACAGCTTTTTTTGGGGGGGATTCTAAACTCTCTGGGTGTGATGTCATCTCCCCAGTTACACTGAGACAGGTCTTCAGAGTCTTATCTCTGTGGTTTCCTGAACAAAAGGACCAAGGTCTGATTAGAAGATCTAATCTCTGATTGACGATTCAAATTAGATAACGTAGACAGTGCTTGGTAAACCTTAAAGCTACATATAAATACTACATATCATTGTTGTTTTTGCTGTTGTTGTTATTTATTCCCCAATGCCTGCCTCTTTCACTTACTACCTCTGTGACTGTGGGAAAGTCCCTTAACCTCTGAGCCTCAGTTTCCTCTTCTATAAAATGGAAGGTCCCTTGCAGCTCCAGGTCCGTGGGAGCCTGTCAGTGGCCCTCAGCAGTGGAGCTGGTGGCTCTTGGTGATTCACTGATTGACAATGGGGATCCTATTTCTCGACCCTGCCCCAGCCACGCCTCGGTCACACCTCACACCTCGTGGGCTTCCTTTTTACTCTTCCTGTTTGTGAAGCAGGTACCCTGCACATGCATGCATCCACGTGGATACCTATGCACACCAGACACAGCTGTACACGTGTGTGCATGTGCTAACACGTACACCCCTTGTCAAACACCGCCCCAATGTATTTTCCTTCTATGGAACACAATACACGTGTGATATGTTACACAAAATAATAACTGAACCATATGGAACATCTTATGATTTGCTTCCTGAGCTTCTCTGTTCATCTCACGGGTACCGCTCTGTTTCTCCTGTGATCTCAAATGTCTACACACACAACTGCTCACCCACCCTCCTTCTCAGAACACACACTCAAAGAGGCACTGAAAGTGATGGACGTGTGAAAATGAAGAACCGCAAAAAAACTGTTGACATTGAACCAGAGGCAAGAAACAAGTGACCCAGGACACATAGCATTCAGTGACACACAATCACAAATGGTCGCACAGAACTGCAACCTTGGCCACCATATTACACAATCCACAGCCACACAATCACACGCGGTCACACAATTTCACAGTTTTATATAGTGTGCATCACATGTTATCATCCCCATGCAGTACCACAAATCATACACATGCACAATTCTGAATCATACAATTGCTCACAGTCACACCCATCTCACATATGGTTCCAATCAGGCTGTGTGTTAAGCTAGAGCAGCTGGTGTTTCTCTATTTCCCCACGAGGGTTCAAATCAGCCCAGCCCAGGTCTGTCTCTGGGGCAGCCTAGGAGGACAGAGGTGAGGGGGGCCTCCATGGGCCATTGACCAAGCCTGTCGCCCATCTCCTCCCTTACCCCCCATTTCCCAGTCACTAGATTTATTTTCCCAAAGACCTCTTCTATCTCTTCCATAAAAGGCTAGACTAGAGGCCAGGCGTGTTGGTGCTAGTGGTGGAACTGGTGGGATTCTGGTGGGAACAGCTGTGCTCCCTTTCCAGTCACTTGCAGCCCATGCCGGTCCAGCCAGGAGCCCCTGCTCCTGCCTGCAGTGGTAGGAGTGGGTAGACAAGGGGGAGGGGTGGGGGGGGGGAGGGAAGAGAATGGCAAAGGGGGGCGGGTGGTTGTTGGGGGAAATAAATACTGAGAGAGAAAAATCAGCTCCAGTCTGGGACCTTAAGTTCACTCACCTGGAGCAGGGGATCCGGAGAGCCTGGCCAGGGCAGACGGAGATATCCTGGGGAAATCAGAAAGATCTGCACAGTCTGGGGATGTATGAGCTGGGGGAGCTGTGCCCCTGCAGGCGGATGTGACTGAAAGTGTCGGAGAGACAGACACAGAGACAGACAGAGAGGGAGCAGGGAGGAGAAGGGGAGGAGAGCTGGGGATGGAGAAGCGCATGGGGGTTAACCCTTTCAGGCTCAGGAGTGCTGTCTCTGGACAGGGGTCAGGGGTCAGTCAGAGAGTGCAGAGGGCCAGGACTTGGGGTGGGGAAGCCTGACGCAGCTTGAGAGGGTGGGGGGAGAGGAGAGGAGGATGGGAATAAGCACTCACGCCTAGCTAGCGCCTTGATATCTCTTCCTGTAGATGGAATACTGTGGGTCATAGGGAAACTGAGGTGCAAATCCCAGGGGAAGGGCTGCTAACCAAGCAGACAGATGGAATTGGGCCCGGGGAACTTAGAGAAAGAGATTCCATTGCCTGAGATGGGCTATGAGGCCAAGACAACCTAAAAATAGTTCCCTCATTACTGGGGTTAGGCTGAGTTTACTACTGGTTGGGTGGACAGGAAGGAAGGAAGGGAACAGGGCAGAGGGGTCAGGGCTGTGGAGCCCAAGATGTTGGGGGCTGGCTCCAGGGGTTCGTGACAGGGAGCTGCAGGAATGGGTTCGAGGACATTCAATCAAAACCATTTAGAGTCAAACAACCTTCCCCCCACTCCTTACCTTAGATGTGCTTCCTGTGAGGTTGGGGGGCTAGGGGGGAGCTGTCCTCCCAGGTCTATGAGGAAAGAAACCACAAGGTAGCTGGGTCAACAGGTATAGAGGAGGAGGGGTCTGAGGCTGTCCAGGGACACTGGAGCTTGATGTAGGAGGTGTTCATGGGGCATGGGCAGGGAGGTTCCCCACCTTAGGGCCCCAGCCTAGGCAGGGAGGGGTAAGTCCCATAGGCTAATGGGGGTCGTTTCCGGGCCTCCCAGCTGGGATAAGGGTTGGTAGTGAGAGTTATAAATAGTCCCTTCCTGTCTAGCTGTGCTGAGACGGCAGGGAGAGTCAGTTCTCTGCTTCTGTTTCTATCTTTCTATCTCAATTTCTCTTAGTCTCTGTCTTTCATTGGTTTTATGTTTCTCTGCCTCTGCCTCAGTTTCTCTCTCTCTCTCTCTCTGATTTGATGATTATTTGTTAAACTCTTACAATGTGTGATGGCCTATGCGAGGCACTCTCTTAGTAATCCTGCTTCTCTGTTTCTGCCTCATTTTCTCTGTCTCTGCCTCAGTTTCCCTGTGTGTCCATCTTTACCTTGGGCTTTCTGTCTCTGGTTTCTGTTTCAGCCCAGTAGGAGGATCCTTAAATCCAGAGACTTTTCAGGCTCTTAAGTAGGGAAGATTTTTCTCATCTCCTGTCCCCACCCACTCCTTAGAAATCCATTTTCCCTCAGATGAGAACCAAGTAAAGGACTCAGGAATGTGGATCCCTGGCTGGTAAAATTCTGATAGAGTGCCCCCTGAAGAAGGCAAAATTGCTGCCTTCACCCCAGCCCTCACCCCATTCCAAGCAGGAGGTCACTGACTAGAGTGGAGGAGGGGCACGTGCAAGAAGGGAAACTGGGGCAGCCAGGGCTGGGGAAGAGGGAAGATTAGAAGTTCCATCTCCTGAAATGGACTGACCAGGCTAGTTTCTTCAGGAAGCAGACATCTCTGGGGAAGGCAATAGGATTATCAGAAGTGGACAAGCAGGAAAGAAGGCAGAAGAGGGAAATAGAGAAATGGCCTCTCAGTCTAGGCTGGATTTGCTCAACCTTGACCATGCGTCTGAACCTCTGAGGGTCAGAGATGGTTCCCCAGGGTTAGCCTGTCACCAGCTCTGCCTCGACCCAGGTTTGGGATGGGAATTGGATGGACTATAGCCACCTTCCTTGGCATGCCTGTCCAAGCTACATCTGGGCCCCAGACTCTCCAGCTCCCCCAGTGGGGAAGGAAGATTTCTCAGGGGCCTAGATCTGTTTGCAGCCTGGGTCCCTCTGGGAGAGCAAGGTCTCCAGGGTTCCTGCCCCAGCCCCAGCCCATCCTGGGGTTAGAGTTCTAGATCGGTTTGAGGGACATGTAGGATGCTTCCGGGGGAGAATCAGCTTGATGGGAGGGGGAGCCTCTCTTGGCCTCATCCCTCCCTCAAAGCCCCAACTGTACATGGCCATCTCTTCCTCTTGGGTCCTCTACTCTCTAGGGGCATAGGATTAGGCTTGTTTTCAGGCAGGAACCTGGTACTTGGGGAGCCTGGTGCATCCGGGAGATAAAACTTCAACAACAGGAAGCCCTTTTGGGAGGCCCAGGCTTGGGGAGTGCAGCCTGGGGTGGGGCCAGGCCCCAGTTTCAGGTCAGATTAGGGCAGGCAGTAGGTCATATGGGAAAACTCCCTATGCTCCATCTCTGACAAGGAAGTGGCCCTTCTCGTCCAGGTCAAGGTGTGCCCTTTGTTCACATCTCCTCCTGTCTCCTCTGGTAGCTGCCCTCCCTTTACTTCTAGTCTCCTGTCTTTCTCCATTTACTAACTCCTTCCCCTTACAAACATCTCCCATCTGTGAACTCAGTGGCCTCCATGATCTTAATCTATGAAGTATGATGTCTTATTTTCTAAATTAGATGGCATTTTCTCAGTACTTCTCCTTCCTGACCTCTTTCCTGCTTTAGACACTATTGATCACCCTCCTCTCCTAGATACTCTTTCCTCTTGGGTTTTCTTACATTCCTCTCCTAGTTCTCCTTTGACCTCTCTCCCCATTACTTTCCAGGATCCTTTGTTGCATCATCATCTGTGTCCTGCTCCCTAACTTCGGGCATCCTCCAAAGCCCTTTTGTTTTCTTTCTCTACAACTGCATTCTTTGTGATCTCATTAACTCCCACAGTTCAATTTTTAAAAATTTCTTCTGAATTTAATCAAAACCATATAAAATGAATACTTCTATACATACAGTAAAACAGAAAAAGGATTGGACATGAAACTTTAAATTCATCATGTATAGCTTGCTTTTCTTTCAAAATCTATATAAAATCAACATATAACTTTCAAAGCAGTCCTGCTTGTCTGTGATTCTTTCTGGCCTTCCTTCCTAGAAGTTCTATTATCTTCTCCATGTAGATGACTCCCAGATCCATATATCCAGGCCTAGTCTTTCTCCTGAGCTCCATGTTTCATCACCAATGGCCTGTTGGACACCTCCAATTGGATATCCCATAAGTATCCCAAACTCAACATATCAAAAACAGACGTATCTTTTCCCTCCCCTAACCCACTCTCTTTCCAAACATCTCCATTTATGTTCAGGACACCATTGTCTTTCCATGACTCAGGTTTGCAACCTTGGCTTCATCGTTGACTCTCCCCCCTCCCCCTTCCACAATGAAATTAGCTGACAAGTTGTGTTGATTCTACCACCAAAATATCTCCTGTAACGTTCCTCTTCTCTCCACTCATAGCAATCCATCACCCTATTTCACTTCTTACCTGGATTATTTTTTATTGTTGTTCAATCATTCAGTCTTGTCCAACTCTTCATGCCATTCTATCCTCCATTATCTCCTGAAGTCTGTCCAAGTTCACGTTCATGTTCATTGACAATATCTATCCATTTCATCCTCTGCCGTCCCCCTTTCCTTTGGCCTTCAACCTTTCCCAACATCAGGGTCTTTTCCAATGAGTCCTGTTTTCTCATTATGTGGCCAGAGTATCTCAGCTTCAGCTTCTAGCTTCTACCTAAAGACCTCCAGTGATAAGGGAATCACTACTTACACTGGCTGACCATCCACTTTTAGACAGCCCAAATTTCTCGTAAGTTTTTTCTTATGGCAAAACAAAAGCATTTCTTTTTTTTTTTTTAAAGGCAATTAGGGTTAAGTGACTTGGCCAGGGTCACACAGCCAGTAATTGTCAAGTGTTTGGTCTGATGCTGGATTTGAACTCAGGTCATCCTGATTTCAGGGCCAGTGCTCTATCCACTGCGCCACCCAGCTGCCTCCAATAAAAACATTTCTACTGGTATGTTAGGATTATAGGTTTAAAGTTAGAAGGGACCTTAGAAGTCACCTAATACCATCCTTGTCTCTTCTTATCCTCTCCATTTTGCAGATGAGGAAACTGAGTCCCAGAGAGGTTGTCTTACACCTTGAATAAGGGAGTGGCAGAGCGAGGCCTCCAATCTGCATCCTCTGGCTCTGAATCTCTGAAGTATTCCCCTGTACTACATTACTCCTTGCTTCTCATTCTGCCTTCTGGGGCCAGGCATAACAAGGAAATTGCACTCCCTCAGGACAGCCTTTCAAGTCCCTGAGAATGTCCTGTCTCTGCTAAGTCTTCTTCTCTGTGGGTTAAACATTTCCACTTCCCTCATCAATCTTCATAGTGCCTTCTCTTGCCTAGTCCTTTTGCTCTGGGACTTTTTCTTACCCTATGACCAGCCCCTGAGCCTGGGAAAATGAAAGCTTGAAGAAGGGAAGAGACTAGCCCAAGGTCAAGGCAATTCTGCAGAAGAGCCAGGAGAGGAAGAACCAGGGTTGGGCAGGACCCAGCTGGTACGGCTCTGAGAGCAGATTGCTAAATTTTCAGTGGGTGTATTCACACCTTGGAAATCATCCAATGCTACGAAATCAGCACTTCGTTTATTATTTTGTTGATTGAATAGTTCTAAGAAAGTGATGGGGAAAATGCTAATACTTCAGATTGAAATTAAAAGTAGGTCATGCAGTTTTTGGAGAGCTGGTTGTTAAACATTTACCTGAATGCCTCTGAATCAAAGAACCCCGATTTCCTGCGTTCCAACAGGAGCAACAGAAGCAGTGCTAAGAAGCCTGGAGGAGGCTGGCTCACAGGGCAAAAAACTTCCTGGCCCCCATCCCTTGAGGTTCCTGACATTATTGATGATCTGGGTGGCTCTGACAGGCCAGACTTAGCTGAGGTTTCTGGCAGAGCTGGGAGGGGATGAGGGTGGGGTGAGGGGGTGGGGTTGGGGAGCACTGGCTGGAAGGCTTGGGAGGCAGCTGGAAGCTCAAAACAAGTCTTGAGACTGATGTCATTGTCTCCGGTCAGAGACCTCCTGGGAAAATCCTATGGACAGGGATCCCTGGGACCCTACTGCCGATAACAAGGCACTTTCTGTGGTCCCTGGCTTCTCTGAGGGTGGGTGGGCTGCTATCCTAGGTAGGAAATGAATGAAAATGGAGATCTGGCTGCTTCCCCCAAACGGTTTGGCACATGGAGAGTTAAGCTGGGGTTTTTTGCCCATGCCT